GCTCTCCCTGAGGGTGGCCATGGAGTTCCTCGTTGTCTCTGACCTCGACTGAGGTCACTCTGGACGCGCAGAGGGCTGCCACGTTGCCTCTGCGTTTGTCGCGGACAAATCATGCTTAACCAGAGCGGCTTCCCATCCTGCTCAACGCTGCATGAAAAAAACGAATGCGCACGGCGCCGAGGCGACAAACGTTGTACTGGGTGGGTGGAACGCAGGGAGGAGGGGGAGGAGGGCCACGAAAAGCTGTACTGGGCGGGGTGGGGGGACGCATGCGGACGGTAGACCTGGGACCTTCGGTAGAGCTCCTTATGGGGCCACATAGCGCTGTACTGGGTGGGTGAAACGCAGGGAGGAGGGGGATGAGGGCCACGAAGCGCTGTATTGTGTGTTAGCATGAGGACGGTAGACCTGGGACCTTCGGTGGAGCTCCTTATGGGGCCACGAAGCGCTGTACTGGGTGGGTGGAACGCAGGGAGGAGGGGAATGAAGGCCACGAAACGCTGTACTGGGCGGGGGGGACGCACGCGAACGGTGGAACTGGGACCTTCGGTGGAGCTCCCCATGGGGCCACGAAACGTTGTACTGGGTGGGTGAAACGCAGCTAGGAGGGGGAGGAGGGACACGAAACGCTGTACTGGGTGGGGGGGACGCATGCGGACGGTAGACCTGGGGCCTTCGGTGGAGCTCTCTATGGGGCCACGAAGCGCTGTACTGGGTGTGTGAAGCGCATGCAGGAGGGAGGAGGGGGAGGAGGGGGAGGGAGGAGGGAGGAGGGAGGAGGGGAAAGAGGAGGAGGAGGAGGAGGAGGGGGAGGAGGAGGAGGAGGAGGAGGGATGATGATGATGAGGAGGAGGAGGAGGAGGAGGAGGAGGAGAACGCGGGGCGCTGTCTCAACAAAACGAGGACCCAACACCACAGGATGGTTGGGAAAATAGGAGCAGGCTTCCATCCGTGAACCTAGTTCTCCTTTGAGCAAGCTCTTTCTTGGTCCATCGTCGTTTCTTTTCCGTGACCTCATGGTTGAAATAATCAACGGACAAAGTATTGGGAACCGGCTGGAATTGACGATCACCCCTGGGTTTCAATTTATCTTGTCCCATCTCTTCCATCACTTGAACGACCTGCCTTTTGAACATTGACGTTGGGTCAAGCATCGCTGCCTTGTCTCTCACGTCTTCCTGTTCCTTCTTCATTTTATCTTGTTTGTCTGATTTGCTTTCCTTTGTTTGGTGGGTGACTTCCAGAACGTGCTTGTACAGTTTCGTCGCCTCTGTCGTCGTGAGGCCCTGCTGCTGCTTTAACTAATCTTCCGGCATCTCAATCCCCCATGACGGAATATTTGATGATATTTAAGAAGCGATTAACCAGGGAACAGAAACCGGGTGTTAGGTTTGTGTGGCTTTATATAAAATTGTGAAGCGCCCCTTGTGCGCGGACCAAGTCTTAAGTCGGAGTTGACCGGGTGTTAGGCCCAGGTAGACCGGGTGATAGGTCCCCATCCGAAAAGTCAACCCCAAGACAAGGTATAAAACTGAAAACCTGGTTACTGAACCCTGGTCAATCCAGTCTTAAAGATATGGTTGATGATATGATGCCGAGCTGCTCCACAAACACGGGCAACAACAACTTCTTTCTTCAAATCTTGATTGGAAGCCCCTGCCATTCCAGATCAAGTCCAGGATTGAACGATTGAAACTTGAAGTGCAAGATACGTTTGGCATCCATGTATGATGTGCCAGGGGGAATGACGATCGCCAGCCTTCCTTCTTGGGGCATGGGCTCGTCAATCTTCGGCACTGTCTCGCAACATTTGAACTGCTTGTAACCGTTGGGGCTCCGGGATTGGTCCAACAGCACTTTGTCTTCACTCGACTTGGACAGTTTATCTTTCGACTTTCAGAAAGCACTCGGCTTTTTAGATAAATCGCCGACGGCCTGCTTGACCGCCTTCTTTGCTTCAGGCGAAAGTTTTGTTGGCAGCTTCTTCTACAGCTTCATTCAATACGGCGGTCTGGCGCCTCGGCACCGGGAAGCGCCAACTGTGCTTGGGGCTGTCCTTCCGGACGTCGCGGTATTTTGGACAATCTTGGGCTCCTTTCTCTCGGTTCATCTTGGGACCTCATCAAGTCCTCAGCCGTTATCGGCATCAAGGTGAAAGCTTTAACCTCGACCGACGATCTATTTCCCCAAGCAGCTTGCTGAACGGGGTGCTGTTATGACAGAAGCCAACTCTAGCCGAGGGAAGGGGAAGCAGAGACATCCTCACACAAATTTGATGGTCCGGGCCGTTTCGCTTGAGACATCCTCACAACTCTCGTTTCTGAGTTGGCCGGGATTGGCCGTTTCGCCTGAGATATCCTCGAAAAGTTGCGCTCCGTGACGCCGCGCGAGAGGTGGTCCGGGCCGTTTCGCTTGAGACATCCTCGAAACTCTAAGCCCCGAGGTGCCGTGCGAGAGGTGGTCCGGGCCGTTTCGCCTGAGACATCCTCGAAACTCTGAG